TAATAGTAATAATAAAGGATAATTATTAAAAACCTGGATGAGAGGATGGGAGGGATGATGAGAAGGGAGACAGTGATGGCAAAAGCTGAGGCAGCAAATCAAGCAGTAGATATTCTTTTCGTTTTTCGACCGGAAATTTTGGTGGGCCCCACAAGAAGCGAAGAAATTCTCCGACATAAGTCCTCGGAGCCATGCAGCAGGCTGAGGCGGCGCCACCACCTTCTTCATCTCATTCTCATCTGCTTCACTACTACTCATCGACGACGATATATCCTTAATTTTATTCTCATTCACTACTGTTAACTACTGCTTTTCTTTCATCTGCCTTTAATTTCTATCTAAACTTACATATATATACACACACACACTTCACACTTATTGGCCTGCCTTTGGATACTCGCTTTAATTTGTAGTTTTGTTTAAACTAGTGAAGACACTTATACATATATATTAGTACTTCTACTTGGGGTTAATAGTATGTCCTTTCTTGATTACCTAAATTTGGTTTTGTATTATTAATGTTTCTTTCTAAATGGATTATGTGGGGTGATCTAGTTTGATACTAGTTAGTTTTTTTAAAACTTAGCTAGATTCAAAAGCAAACAAACTCAAGTCGAGTCAAATGCTCGACTTGAGCTTGGTCAAATTCGAGTTCGACGAGCCGCTGTTATATACATATTACCTTATATAGTTTAATTATTCATATTAGAACACCAAGGTCAAAATTGTCAATTAGATTAAAAATAGTACATTTGTATTTAAAATTTATTAGTTGTTAAAATTCTGAGTCGAACCGACCCATGTCGGGAATCGAGTCGATCTCCAGCATTTTTATTTTATTTTCACGAGTCGAGTCGAGCAGTATTTTAAATGACTCGTTGAGCTCCAACTCGAGCAGTAAAGACAAAAGTTCGATATGCGTTCGACAAGGTCCATGCGCGACTCGAATCGTTTGCAGTCCCAATTGAGATGGAGTAAGATTTTGATCTTATATTATAATATTATTTAAAATGTAATGATTAAAGTCGATGCACTATTAAAATAAAGAGAAGTTATTAGAGATGGATGTGTAGTAAAAAAGTATATGAGTGAATGAATGATGAATCAAAATTGATGTGATGTGTAAGAGTGGATGATTGATACTATTTAATTGTATATTAATAATATTGAGAAGAGTTAGGTTGGATTAAGTTTGAGTTGTTGGATTTTGAGTTGCAAAGTGGAAAAAAAAAAAAGTATGCAATTAGTCAAAATCGATTATATCTTATAGTCATTCACGCTTAGGTAACTTGATAAGTGATAGACAGTCTGAGGGCGCGCGTGGTCTTGAAGATGCGCATTTGACCTAGCGCAATGTTGCCGCAATATTATCTCCCACCCCTAATACCAAGGAGAAGCTCGATTCGATCCAAGTGCATTGCGTCATGTACTGAAATTTTTGTTTTCAGCACATAACTAAAGATATCAATTCTGATTTGAACTTGCCTCGGTCTGGCCCGTAATCATTAGGGCGGATTGGGTCATTGCTTAATTTATTTCTAAACGCTTGCCCCGTTTAATAGTTGGGTCAGCTTCGAGTACCGTCTTGGTCCGACCTGACTCTTTCGCATGACCACACAACCCGCATATATTAGTCATATATTTAAACTATCAATAGTACAATTCATGCACACCACACAAAACAAAAACAAAACAATTGACCATGCCGAGCGGACTTCACGTACTTCATATTTGACGACCCTTCCACGGGGTGAAACTGTAGCTTGAACATGATGTTATAGGGATCGCCCATCCTCGTAATATCATGGTCTAAGGCATTCGCCTCCTTCTTTGTACAAAAAAAAAAAAAAAAAAAAAAAAAAAAAAAAAATCAAGCATAATCGACATTTTTCAACAGAAGCTAGTTTCAAATTGTTCTCGTTAACTGAAATGAATTATAATGACCAAATAAATACACTTCCAATTTACT